TGTGCGATCTTCTTGTAGCAGCTTACCAGGTGATCCACTGTTTCTTTAGCTTCTTTGCATAGGCGGCACTTACTGTCTGTTGCTGTCTTCTCAATTTTGACTTTGTATGCATTTGTCCTTAAGGCTTGGTCTTGTGCAGCCAGAATTAGTCCCTCAGTCTCTTTCTTCAACTTTCCTGCTCTTAGCCATTGCCAGGTCTTGTTATTATCTGATTATTCTATTTCAGATAATGTTTTTCCATACAGCCTCAGATCATCCATGTAAAGGAGGTGGTATAATCTGGGAGATGTTTTTGGCATTTGATAGCCATGGTCTGAGTTAGTCAGTATTGTTGACAGAGGAAACAGAGCAATGACAAATAGTAGTGGTGATAGTGAATCTCCTTGAAATATTCCTCTCTTGATATTAACCTCTCCCAGTCTTTCACCATTGATCTGCAGCTGTGTCTTCCATTATGCCATCAATCTTTGCACAAACTTTCTGATGTTTCTACCGACTCCTGTTATTTCTAGGCACTTGATTATCCAGTCATGTGGTAGAGAGTCGAATGCCTTTTTGTAGTCAATCCATGCCACATTCAGGTTGGTCTTCCTTCTCTTGCAGTTTTCCAAGATCATTTTGTCTATTAGGAGTTGATCTTTTGTTCCTCTGCTGTCGGGGCGGTTTCCTTACTGCTCAGGTGGAAAGAGATTTTTTTCAACTAGATGCTGTTGGACTGCATCAGCTACCACACCAGTTAGCAGTTTGAAAGTTGTTGGTAAGCAGGTAATTGGCCTGTAGTTGCCTGGTGCTGCCCCTTTTGCTGGATCTTTCAATATCAGGTAGGTTTTCCCAGTTGTTAGCCACTTTTCAATTTCTCCTCCTTGTAGTATGTTGTTGAACTGCTTGGCATTGAGTGAGTGCTCTTTTCTCTACCATTTCTGCTGTTATTATTAGTTCTTCCATTTCAACTTCTGTTTTATTTGCATCCACCTCTTTTAACCAAGCTGTGTCCTTGTTGTATTTCTTTGGGTTATCCCATATCTGCATCTAGAACTGCACTATTTCTTCCTTGTCAGGTACTGACTGATTCATTGCAGTTTCTCCATTGATGGATTGGTAGAAACATTTCTGATTGGATTGAAATTGGTGGTTCTGCCTATAATTTGCAATTCGAGCTTCGTATCTGCTGATATTCCTGGCTATAGCTGTTATTTGCTGCTTTATTATTTCCAGTGCTTCCTTGATCTTCCTTGTTTCTAAGTAGTATTTCTTGATTAGGTATTCTTTAGTTTTCTTGTTCTTCAGCTTCTTTTCTTTCATCTGTTCTAGCTTGCTTGTATCTGATCTTAACTTGCTGATCTTATTTTCCAGTCTAACCTTCCATTTTTGTGGTGTACTGTTTGATTTTTTTTTCTTCTTTGTTGATTTTGCATCCCAGATATTCAGTTATAACTGCAGCTGTGCTATACATTAGTTGGTTTGTTTGTTGCAATGAATTGGTGCTTATACTTGATATTGCAGTATTTGCATCTTTTAATGCTTGTGCTAGCTGTTTCTTTGTAACAAGCTTCAATGCAGGCAGCCTTATTCTGTTGTTTTTGTGCTGTTCTATATGCTTAGTTATTCTTTGTTTCAATTCTTTTATTTCTTTAGTTAGAGGGTTTTGTTCTTCCTGAGGAAGAGGTGCCTGGTTTCTAAATGAAATATATATCTCTGCTGGACTCCTCTACTGCCCACCCACCCCCCTTGGTTTGCCTATACATTTTGAGTTACTTCTGGGAAGGCTTTGATTTCTTTGCCCTGGGTAAAGCGTTGCAGTTCATCGAATTCTGTTTCTGTGAATACTTTATTTTGTATTATAAATCGACATTGATCTGCTAGTCTCTGTTCTGTTATTTGTTGTTCTTTCCAGAACTGGGGCATTCGTTTCAGATATCCTCTTCTTGTTGGACTTGATCTGTAATAACAGATTATTATTTCTTTGTTTTCGATCACTGTGTATTTGCGATGGGTAAAACACCTTTTCTTCCAGTAGTTCTGCAGCTGCTGGCCTTAGATGCTCAGCCAACAGTCCTGAGTCCTGTAGCCCATTTTTCACCAGATATTGAGGAACTCCAACATCTAATGTGGACCTTGTTAAGCCAGGCAACATCCGAGCTGGTATGGCTTTCTGAAATTTATGTCTCGCCATATTTTTTATGGGAGATTCACTCTTTGTCTGACTCCTCTGATGAGATCTGTTGAACCTCTGGCATAGCTCTCATCTTCCTCAGAGTACACAAGCCCCACAACCACGTCAAGGTAGTGCTTCACTGGGGGTTATTATTATTACTATTGTTATTGTTGTTGTTGTTGTTCGTTATTTGGTCACCAAGATGTTCAGATTGGATTTGGCATTTTTAATATCTAGTCCTTCCCAAAGACCTGGGATAGGGAGATGCTGATGTTTGATGGTATTAAAGGTATCATCACGGGATATAAACTGTTCTGAATAAAGCTGTCTTTTGCAATTGACTGATGGTGACCTTGTCAATGCCGCTGGTATTCAAATGGTGATCCAGTTATTTTGGGATTGCACCCAAGGCACCTATTACTATTGGTATTACCTTTGCTTTCTTCTGCCACAGTCATTCTATTTCTATTTGCAGGTCTTTGTATTTTGTTATCTTCCCCAGTTCTTTCTATTCTATTCTGCTGTCTCCAGATACTGTGATACCCACTATTTATTATATATATTATTATTATTGCAGTTCAAGTCATTTCACACATTATGCCATGGCAATTTATTCATTATTACATGGAAAAATCAGGCTACTCTAGTGTAACCACCAAACTGAACCCTTAATAATGAAATGTAACCCATCTTTGTTCTTCAACATGTTCTTGCCATCTTGTGTTTGTCATTGATCAAAAACCAATATCTCTCTGTTTCATTGACTGTTGGAGATAATTGCCATGAGTGTTGCAACCAGCAACCCATACCTTAGAAAGTAAGACAATCAAATGATATCCTTATAATGAATTCTTATGCTGACTTTGCAGAGTTTCCTGTGGAGCTGCAGGGTTCATAATTGACTAGTGGTTCCTTGCTCCTGAACCCCAGCCTTGAATCTTCCCTGCTCTCTGTTGAAGCAAGCATTATAACATCTACCACCATTTCCCATGCTTTAATTACAGTAGGGAAGACAGTTATCATCTCTGCACAGTCCCTGATATATTTTTCTCATTCTGAAAAGCAAATGTAGTGAGCAAATGCTTGGGGAAAATGATGACTCTCCTGTGGGTCAGCTGAATGGACTTTCTATTTTCTTCCTTCCTCTGTTACCAACCACAGTTCACAAGTTTAGCAGTAAAACATTCGTACAGGTGCAAAACTGCTATGGGGAATAGGAGGGCAAAGCTAGTGGCTGAATGAAAGTGCCCTTTAATTGCATGAAAAGAGGGAAAAGAGGAAGAAAAAGAAAAACCAGGCTCCTTCAGGGCAGCACAAAAATCACAATCCTTGTGAGAATAATGACAATGTTACCGTCATTAGGGATAATGGCAACTACGTGCTTACAGGCAGAGGAGACGCCGTATTTGTTCTACGGTTTTATTTCCTGGCTTTGTAAGTTCAACGTCAACTAGGAGTGATGCAGTTCAAAGGGGAGGGAGTAACCTTATTGTAGTCTTTTCATTTCACAGTTTTTTAAAAAAGAGTTTATCCAATTATACTATACAGATAATAGGATTTATGTGCCTGACTTAGATATGATCAAAACTATACACAATGTTAACAAGGTTATCCTGATATGTAGAGGAGAAGGAGAAAAAGGCTTTGTTTTTAATGACAGCAATTATTTTAATATAGGTTACATGTTATATTTAATAAAAGATAATCCTATGCATGTGATTTTTGAACCAATCTTCACAGCACCACTGACTCATTTCTACATTGATGATGCAAGGACCAGAGTCACTGTGTGAACATTTTTATGGAATTTATGTTAGGAAGCATTATTGCATAAAGTACAGCAGATTACTCTAATGGAGTTCTGGGCCAATCACAGTGTTAGAAGGTTGCCTAGCATTTGTTTGTTTAATGTTTTGCTTTAGTAAAGGAAATACCAAAAACAATGAGCTAATTCCTAGTTATAAATTCCAACTGAAAAAGTCAACACTATGTAAATTACGGAACCTCAAAGAGGAACAAAAGTCAAAAGTTCAATTTTTAATTCAGTATTTTATTAAATTCCACTCCCCCTCATGGCTTTCTTCCAGTCTGTTGTTTCAAGAGTAATCAGAGATATAGCAGTTATCCCAAGACATGAATGTTTCTTCATTTCTTACCTAGGGCTAAGAGATGATCAAAGTATACATCAAATATGATCCTCTTTTGTTTGCAAATTTCTCTATTCCATATCTCTTGGAAGTTCTCCATAGAGTTCCATCATGTAGGTTTTATTGATAATATAATATAATTGACTTGCAATAGTTTGGAAACTTTGGTTAAAGCTAATCATAGATAACTGTAATGTAGGTGCAATATTTGCAAGTAAAAGATCAAGTAAAAAATGATATTATGTGAGAAGGAAAGAGAAATATAACCATTGCCAAAAGTTGTGAGCAGTGAGTCTGATGGTAGCTTGGAGCCGGGATTTGAATTCCTAATCATAAATTCTCTGGAGACTTACATCTTTTGTCACCTAGAAGTCCTTAGAATGGAAGATAGGAGATGCAGTACAAATCTACAAAACATTATCTAACCCAGTCACAGGAATTATTCTGCTCATTCAGGAACCATCACTAATGCTAGGCTAAGACTACAGATCTGACAGACATGTACGATAGTGCATTAAACAGCTCTTGTTTTAAATGAAATGTGAGTTACATGCAGTTACCTGGATTATTCAGCAATTGATTACCACTTCTATAGATTTGGCAAGAACAGACTACAGGTATAATGTATTCAATCAGTTTTCCTGTATGGTTTTTCTTTTAAATTCCTTTTATAATTAATATATGTGTATTTTATAAAGGATAACTGAATTAGTTGGATATCACCCTGAGGAACTGCTGGGCCGTTCTGCGTATGAATTCTATCATGCACTGGATTCTGAGAATATGACCAAAAGTCATCAAAACTGTAAGTCACCCTCAAAAATTGTAATTATTAGGTGAAGTGTGGGTTGAACATGACTCCAGTTAGCCAGAACAACAACAATGATGATGATGATGATGATGACGACGATAATGATAGTGATGATGAAGAAGAAGAATAACACTTAGACATGAGCCTTATGTCTGTTTCACAGAAGCTTGCATGTCAGGGACCTCAGTTAGAAGTGTATTTTTACAGACATCTGTATAGAAGACTACCTGTATATCCCCAATTCCCTGTAAATGGTGTGATTTGGAAATTAATGTTGAGAACCAGTCCTTTCCTAAAGTGACCATATTATTTAAGAAAACAGAAAGCTGGAAGGGCCATTTTTTAAATAACTTGTGCATTACCGATGTCATTATGGTCAGGTGAGAATACAAATAGGCTCCTTGCATATGGGCAGGATTAAACAAATGCCTGTTTCCTTTTTATTTGAGGGGGAGAAGTTTTAGATGTTAAACACCTATTTTATCTATAAGTAAAAAATTATCAGTGCAATCAGAGGGAACCCCTGGTGGGGGATATGCTTAAATTGATAGGGGAGCTTCCTGTGACTCTGAGGCCACATTATCCATTTCTGAATTCAACTGTTTCATCATTGCGAATAAAGGTATCCCAGGATAATGTTGCAAGATCCAATCTGGGCAATCACTGGGACCAAAGGTTTATTCTTCAAAGCTTTCTTACCAATGGCCTGAACTCAGTGATAGTCTCACATTGCAATGAATAAGGACATTGCATTCAATTTTGCAGCTACTGTGATTGTTGGCTGAATAGGGACAAAAACAGCCAGAGAAATTATTGAAGCCTGGGAAACAGGCCCCTTGTCAGTCAATAGGAGTGCTGATTTACCTTCTGCCTATCAGGTACTTAGGAGTCAATGCAGTGGTACAAGGCAACAACTAGCCAGCCATCAATACATTAATTAACAACTAAAAACTGCACACAACAGGAAACATATAAATATAACACAGAATAATCCAGTGAACATATTCTGGAGAGAAAGAAGTTCCCTGATGATGGGCTCCAACATGAGCCAAAAGCTTAGAAGAATAAATATTTGGTCCCAGTGACTGACCCAGACTAGATCCTGTTTCATCATTCATCATAGACAGACTTATCTATACATATGCAGATATGCCACCATTCATGGCATAGGGCCAGATTATTTCTGCCTACCCTATTAAATTGGGCAGTGGTGCATTTCAGGTCCTTGGCTCAAATAATATCATCTAACAGGGCCAAGAAGCGTGCCTTCTAAGTAATTGTGCTGCCCTTTGGAATGAGATACTGTATCCCTAGACATCCATTGGCTGACACCCTGATAATGTTCAGGGAGTCTTTAAAAATTTGACTGTTGTTCCAGGCTCTACAATAGGATGTTTGTGGAGACCCTGTTGGTTATGTTTTACGTTACAGGGAATATGTTTGTCTGGATATTTAGGATTTCTATTGTTAGCCCCTAAGCATCATTTTGTACTCAGGTTTCCTCAAAATATCATAAATAAATAGATAAATAAATGCTCTTGCTAACTGAGGCGAACACCGCAATATGCCTGTGAGTCTTTAAAGTACCACAAGAGTTATTGCTGGTTTTAGTTTGTAACTGGAAAGTTAGTTTTTCTCAAGCAGAAAATAAATAAACAAAAGCCTATCTTGATGTCATTAAAGTAAGAATGGTATTTGATAAACAGGAAATGGGTAAAAGGATTTACCCATATTAGGTTATTGGGATTTGGAAGTGGGTTTTGAGGAGGCAATTCATAATGAAGGGAAAGGAAAAAGTGGAGGATTCTATGAAACTACAAATAAACAAATAGCTATGTGAAATATGTTGCAGGAAAAGCAATCTGAAGAATTCACATATGGGTACCAGTCTGCTGATCAATACATTTGTCAGAAACAGAAATAAAGGGGTTACTTATGTCACTGAATCCAGTCCCCTGCTCAGTGTTTTGGTAGAGGCGTGATGGCTCAGTGACTTAATGAGGTTTGAGTCCTAGCACTGTGTGGTGGGTGAGCTCCCATCACTCGTCTCAGCTTCTATCCACCTAACAGTTCAAAAGCATGTTCTGTGCAAGTAGATAAATTAGGCACCACTTCAATGGGGAGACGAATTGATGCCCCATGCAGTCAGTCAGATTCCTGCTGGCTCTGAATCTTTCCGGTTGTAGCACCCGTTTGCAAGACAGGTCTGGAGAAAGGTGGGGGGCCTTCGATGACGCTGCAGGAGAGCTGCTCATCTGTCTCTCTGGTGCAAAGCCAGCTTGCCCTCCTGTAGTGCACCTTGGGAAGCGCATGAGCGTGTTCTACAATGGTGCTGGTAAATTGGCAGCCAAACTACTACATTGTGGTTTCCTGGCTAATGCAATAACACCATATGATGATGATGATGATGATGATGATGATGATGATGATGATGATGATGATGATGATGATGATAGTAGTAGTAGTAGTAGTAGTAGTAATAATAATAATAATAATAATAATAATAATAATAATAATAATAATAGTGCTTTAGTGGGAAATATTGGAGACCCTTTGAAAGATGTCTGTCTGCCAAGGTTCAGAGAGCTGCACAAGGCACCAGAAAGCCAACCTATGGATGGCCATGTTTTAGAGGTCTATAGTGACTTGTGCAACCACACTGTATAAACTCTTACAGCTTTCCTTTCTTAATGCTTGTATATTTAGAACAACAAAAAATTAACCACACTTTCCTATGTATGACTCAGAAGTTTATTAACCCTCAGATAAATGAAAGCAGAGTTGCAGCTTGTTCTATTTTTATTGCTGTCCATCCTCTTGTCTCTTAGTTCCTTTCATATTGTTTCTCACTGTAGCTTGTTACATAATATCTAAAAATGGATGCTAATTATAGTTACCTATACATTGTCACTGCAAAATGGACTCTCAGTTTTCCTATGGCTTTATCCTAAGCAAAGAGCAAGCATTAAGCTAAGTAGGGGAAAAGATTATGTACTGAAAATGAGATATTCATGTGGGGGTGGGGTTTGTGGTCTTACTGGTTTGCTTAAATGAGAGTTTTGTGACTGGTCATAAACTTCATGGCAGCCTTTTTAGGAGAATACCCATGATACTTCATAAATTTTCTAAGGGTTGGAGACTCCTGTTGTAGGCAAACATAAAAAAGTAAGTGCCAATTCTAGTTTCAAAAGTGCTTGTACAATGTGCTGGCATTGCTATTTTTACTGGAGAATAAGACACATTTTGTTTGTTTGTTTTAAAAAAAGAGATACAGCTGTTTTAATGACCAAGAATAATAAAATAAGCGAGTAAAGACCCCATTTCAAATTTTCAAAAATTTATTTGGAGTTATCAAGTGCAAGTCTAAAATAGTATTAGATATGTTCACTGCCTTGAACTAGTAATAAAAATAATAAAGATGGGATAAACATTAATTAATTAATTAATTAGTTAATTAATTAATTAATTAATTAATTTGGCACCAAACTAGAAACTAGGAGACAATGAATTCTAATCCCACTTTAGGCATGTGACTTTGACTAGTCCCTCTCTCTCAGCCCAACCCACCTCACAGGGGTTTTGTTGTGGGAAAAATAGGAAGGTGGAGTAGTATGTGTGTTTGCCACCTTGAACTATTTATAAACATAATTAAGGTGGGGAGAAAATAAATTAATAATAAATAAATTTACGTTTTATTGAATATGTGATATGGGGAAAGAGAAAGAGAATCTTTTCTTTTATATGTACTCTTTCTATAGAATCATCCAAACAGTATTAATACCAATATTAATTTTAATTTCAATTTTTAGTCTGTCGTAATCCCACTGAATTTTATCATTCATTTTGGTTTTAAAAAAAAAAAAACCTAGCCTATATGTATTCGTGTCATTTGGAACAACGGTAGTCTTTTAAGTTAGGAAATTATATTCAATAAAGTACAAGTACCTTTCACTTTACAACCATTTATTTAACATCGATTCAAGGTTACAGAGGCCTGAGAAAAAGTCACTTATGATCTGTCCTCAAAGTTATGACTGTCACACACCACCCCCACAATCACGTGACCTTAATTGGGCACATGGCAACTGGCTTGCATTTTTGACAGTTGCAGCCTTTTGCAATCATTGTGATCGCGATATGTAACCATTCCTGCTGGTTTCTGACAAGCAAAGTCAATTGGGGAAGCCAGAGTCACTGGTCATAAAATTGGGTTCGATCATGTGATGACTTGCTTAATAGTGCATTGCTTAGCAATCAAAATCCCAATCCTAATTGTAATTGTAAATTGAGGACTACTGTGTGCATGTATGTGCAACTGGGAAGAAATAACCAGTGGTGGGATTCAAATATGTGAACAACCAGTTATCTGTGTGGATATCACTTCCAGAAGTCTGTTCTGGGCCTGGGCAACAAAAAATTAGCTACCGATTCTGCCGAAGTGGTGGAAACTGGCTGAATCCCACCACTGGAAATAACATTTGGGTAGAAGTAAGCCACAAAGTGCTGTATAGTTTAGCAAGTAAGGAAGTAGGAGATCATGCTGTAATTTGAGTTGTGAGATTGTAGTTTAATATCCCTTAACTACATGTTCACCTGTATAGCTGTGTAAACATTCAACTTTATGCAGATGGAAAATATCTGCTTTTTTAATTATAAAAATCACATTCTTTAATATGAAGTAAAAGATGGGGGGAAATGTTCTAAAGCAATTGCTATAGAGTAGGAAATTGTTATGACAATAGTCTTAGAAAAATTGGAATATTGAAAGAGAAAGAGCATCAGAAGTATTGGTTTGGTACTACATCATGTGCCATGCAAATAGTCCAAATCATAGACAAGGAACAAAGTGGTAATGTAGTGTGCTCTGAATTGTTGTGAAGCTGCTAGATAATTCAGATTTAAAGGAGCCCTGCTTTGACTTGGTATTGTATCTTTCCAATTAGCTTGATTTAGGATATGGCTTAATATAATGCATGTTCCTGCTTCCTGGTTTATGGTAACCACTTCTGAATTTAACAATAGCATCACAGACTAGACTTCTTCCAGAAATTCAGCTATTTATGACTACAGTTCATTGTGAAAACTTGAATCAGAGGAGGGGCGGGAAATAGCATTCTAAATTCAGTATGTTAGGGCAGTACCCTTAATAAGCCAACTCATAGTGTACAAGATTTCCAGTTATCAAAACTCCAGACAAGACTGTAAACTAGTCAAAAGGCATAGGGGAGGGAAAAAGAGCTTGTATTAAAAACATGAAGTCTGCATTTAACTATAATCTAAAATGAATTATTGAAGGGAATTGCAAACTTTTCAGTCCTTTTAATAAAATCAAGTTAGTTGAAAAGATGCTCTCAGACCCCATTTCACAGTTCACTCCTAACTGCAAATTAATAGGGTTATTTTTTTAGCTTGTTTATAATTTACCAGAAATTGCAAGTGAGCAATGAAAGAGCAAATTTGCTGCCAAAACCAATTTATTAAAGGTGGTTAGTAGCATGTGCAGATTGTATGGAAAACTGTCCAGTGATGTGTTTTCTTTTTTGTAGTGATCAGCTAGCAGTCACTCTTCAGTTGGCCCAAAATGAAAGAATTATTTATCCACCATTAGATATCATTCTCCCCTAACACATCTGTAACAGCAACTTGTTGTATCAGAACATGGTGTGACTTGTTTTCTTTTAAAGATGAAAGCACTAAACCTCCTCTGAATAATGTAACAGGCACATCACATGATCATGCCTTAATGAGTTCTCTATTAAGAATCCCATGTAATAATGTTTCACAGACATACAGAAGCCATTTGCTTAAATGGTTTTCAGACAAAATCTTTGACTTTTTTTTGTTTATGCACCTCACTAATCTAATAATCAAAATATAATCTCTTTAAGAGCAAGATTACTCTGAATGCAGAACTTCACCAATAAAGGGATGCAATAAAATCATTAGAGGTGTGCTTTGTAGATTATACATAAACAAAGGATTTAGTATGGCTATTTGTTCAACTTGTTCACCTTATTCTTGCATTTTTACCACAACAATAACATTGTAAGTAGGCTGAGCTGAGAGAGAGATTGGCTCATAAACATCCAATCAGTTTCCTGAGCTAAGGGCAGGCCCAAATCTGGGTTTTCCCCTTTCTAGTTCTAGAATTTCCATCACAACACCACATTGGTATGAATTATAATAATAAAATGTGATGGATATCTACTCAGAAGCAAATCCCAAAATTAGAGTCTCTCAGACTTTCCATTTGCAAAATTGTACAAAGTATTTTGGAAGCTGGTTTTTAAATCAGGCAAGAATTTTGCAGTCTTTATAATGTCAAGGTGGGAGGGATTTCTAATTACTAATGAGGGGGCAGGACTTTGGTCCTTCTTCAAACCAAAGTTTGTTTGCTTGGCTATTTTATATATCAGGTTTCTGTTGTAATACTTCCCAATATGATTTAGAATGAAGACAAATTAAAACTATTCATGATAAAAATAATAAATCAAATCAATATTATTTACAATATTTACAAACCCATCTAGCAACAATCAATGTTTTTCTTGCCTTTGTTGTTCTTTTGAGGTTTGCATAGCCTATCATTAGTTGTAACTATGGGAAATAGGTCCAATAAGTGCCTAAATTCTTATCTAAATCAGAATTAAGCCAGCTTCAAGGCTAGGGAAAGTGACAACCCAGGAAATCCAATGCTGGAAACTGCCTCTGATCTCAAGGAGGGAATCAGATGAATTCTATGATCCCTGGGAAACTGCCATAGAGATCACACTGAAGTACACAAATCCAAAAAGACTTGGCTTCTGCCAGATAGAAATAGAAATGCCAATGGGAGTAATGGAGATGGCTGATTTCTCTCATCAGAGTTTTCTCCTCTCTTAAAAGATGCACCAATGGAAAAGGAAGGTCAATAAGAAGCTTGCAAGGGTTGAGAACTGAAGTGGGCCCTTACATTGTCTTGAATTAATACTTTGATAGGTCTGTGATGCCACACATTTCTGATGTTTTTAAAGGTGCCATAATACTGAAAAATGATATTGACATGTATCATGTTTCTCTTTCCTTCTCTATCTCCAGTGTGTGGGAAAGGTCAAGTGGTTACAGGGCAGTATCGCATGCTTGCCAAGCATGGCGGCTACGTGTGGCTTGAGACCCAAGGAACAGTCATCTACAATACTCGGAACTTGCAGCCTCAGTGCATAATTTGCGTTAACTATGTTCTAAGGTAAGACAGCTGAAATCCTGAAGAATGCTAGCTAAATGAGAATTGTTGGAGAAGCAATACAGTCTGGGCATTTTTTCTTGTTTCTGTAGGAGGTCTCAAAGATGCTATTTCAAAAGGCAACTGGACTTTGTTTTTCTTTGAGGAAGACGTTTCACTTCTCATCCAAAAAGCGTCTTCACTTCTGACTGAATGATGGGAACTGAACTGAAAGAAGTTTCTTGGATGAGAAGTGTAATTTCTTCCTCAAGGAAAAAATGAAGTCCAGTTGCCTGGATGACTGAGAATCTCCATAGACACTTTTTATGAAGCTGTGGCATGCAAATCCCTCAAATAACAGGGCAAGTATGGAGTGGGGAAACTGGACCTGCAGATTCTCTTGGAGCAATCATTCCTATTAATCCCAGTTAGCACCAAAGATGGCTGTAAGCCAACAATATCTAGTTGTCCACAGATCTTTAGTTAACACTCTTATTGTTATCCTTTGTATTTACATGAATACTGTCTTTCATAATAATAAGATATCTAATACTTTATCTTGTTAGTGAAATAGAGAACAATGAAATTGTATTCTCCATGGATCAGACAGAATCACTTTTTAAGCCTCATATGATGGCCATGAACTCTATATATGACCATGGAATTTCAGTGGCTGATAAGAGTGACTTCTTATTTACCAAGCTGAAGGAAGAACCAGAAGAACTTGCCCAGTTGGCACCCACACCAGGCGATGCAATTATTTCTCTTGACTTTGGTTAGTAATATTTTGGGAAGAATAAGTGGTGAACATCATCTTGTATTTGTATAGTAGTTAACCACAAGAGAGCTAGTAGATTGTAGCATCTCCCACAAAGTATCATATAAACACAGTGATAGATGATGAATGAATGAATGGATGGATAGATAATTATTATGTTTCATATTATTTATTACTCTAACTGTGAATGTTTTAATTCTTTTTTTTTNTTTTATATACATTATCTATTCTAAAGTAACATACATTTCTATCTTATCATTCGTCTTTAATCCCAGCCGTCCTTTTCAAATTCCTCCAGCGGTAAAATTTATCCCAGGTTTCAAAAAAAATTGATCCACATTTATCTTTTAGTATCATTGTGAGCCTGTCCATTTCTGCACATGCTAATATTTTATGTATTAGCTCTTCCTCTGTGGGGATTTCCTTACTCTTCTTTTAATTCTTGATTAGATAGAGTACAAGCAGCCAAGAGTACAAGCAGCCAAGAATGGAAGTATGATTAATTGATTGATCAGTATTGATTGATTAAAGAAAGCCATTTATTGACATAACAGTGATTTCAAACATATAAAAGAAGCATTAGTGACTATTGAATGAGGCTTAATATCTCCCACTAAATTAAAACTTAGCTATTTGCTATTTGGGGAGTAAAGTAAGCTCCCTCATCTGAACATATTTCCCAACTTGTTTTTTTTTTCTTAAAAAAAATTCCTGGGATTGCTAGTACCAAGGATGAACTGACCTTGCTTGCCTCAATTTCAGGAACGCAAAAGTTTGAGGAAATCCCTACCTACAACAAAGCTGCAATGACTCCAAACACTCAGTGGGTTACAGAAGGGAAGAACCAGGCATCACAGACTGAAAAGCTGAGTGTACCATCATTTACCTTGCCTCAAGTTGCACCTGGCAGCAGTACCCCCAGTGCAAGCAGCAACAGCAGCTGTTCCACCGTAAGAAAGAACTTTTCACTGACATCTAGTAGCATTGCCAGCTTTGAAGTGTGTGTGGGGGGGGGTTGAACCAGCACTAACTGGAGTTATAGTAGAAACAGTAAAAAAAAAAAAAAGGAATTACTTCCAGCTGCCTTTATCCACTGAAACCAAAACCAATATCAGAGGCTAATGGTGACTGAGATTAGTTTGGTATAATCCTACTTCATTTAAAACATGAAAATGAGAGAAAAGAAATGACATTCTCAGAGAATGCATCATTAATTCTGCCTCTGATAGTTTGGAAGGGGAGTAGCCATTCCCAGACCTTAAGAGGTTAATGTGGAAAGTCATACCTTTAACCTACAAAATAAACACTCAGTTTTTTCCCTGACCATTCATCACACTCAAATCTTGAGTGAATTGTTTGAAGAGAATTGCACTCTAGCAATTTGTTCATAAAGTTTGTTTGTGACTCAATGGTCCTAGAGGTTTCCCGATACCATCCTTTTATTGTGGTAGTCTCATTTTGACTACAGCCTTATTTGTTAATATTGAGTTCAGTGCTAGAAGAATGAGGAACCATTGTCAGAATTGTGGGGAAACAAATCTACAAGTAATCCTTGACTTACAACTACAGTTGGGACAGGAATTTCCATTGTTAAGTGATGTGGTTGTTAAGTGACTTAATATTTTAATGTTTTGTTTTAATTATTGCTCTGTATGTCAGGACTATACTGTAGCCCTCAACACACTTACCTAGCAATAAGTTCCTTTGAAGCAAGAAAAAGCCTGGACCTATTCTTGGTTAAAAAGATACTGTGGTTTAATACTTCTGCCAGATTTATGACATGTAAATACATCTGTAACCACACTGTATTTCACAAATGTTGGCCAGCAGCAAAACAAATATAGTCATCATTTCCTGAATTTTTTTTCAACTTCTTTAATATAGACCTGACTTCTTGGATTATTATCCTTTTTCCAGCAATAGGCTGCTACTGCTGAAAGAGGTGGTTTTTTTTCCTGATCCTGCATCTCCTATGTCTCCTAAATACGGCCCTGACTATTGGGACACTACTTGAAATATTTTTAGATGAGGCATGCAGCAATGCCAAGAAAAGGAATCAGTTTCAGGAAATTATCCATGTTGGCCATGTCTTTTCTTCCTGATGTTTCATTCTATGCAGCTAACTGCTTTATGGCCATTTTTGTACTTGTTGATAGTCTGTTTTCTCATTTCATCCTAAAGCCAAGTAGCCCAGGAGATTATTACACTTCTTTAGATGAAGACCTGAAGATAGAGATGATTGAGAAACTTTTTGCCATGGACACAGATGCCAAGAATCAATGCGGTTCACAGGTAAGAGAAGCCATGAATAAATTAGCATCAAGCCAAAACTCAGAAGAGCGTGTTGTTTCAGTTCTTTATATGCAGACTTAAGAATCAGTAGCTACTGCTCATATTCATAAGAATGGGAAGCAGATATAGTGCAGGGGTTCTGCATTAATGTGAGAGATATAATGGAAAAATCATTTCCATTTCCCTGGACTGGGCTTTTCAATCTGGCAATGTCAGGCTAGGGGCTCTTTATATAACATATTTGACAGATGCTAAGTAAGCAATGGTTGCTTAAGATGTGCTGGACTACAACTTCCATCATTCTCAGTCATTGTTCTAGAGTATTGTACTCTAAAATGTGTCTGGCTGAGGAATTCTGGGAGTTGAAGTCCACAAGTCATAAAAGGGCCAAGTTTGAAGACCCCTGATTTAGATGGCTGGGGAATTCGGTTTAAAAGGAAAATTACAAAGCCATATCCTACATGGATTAAGGGATATTGTGCCGTAAACATTGTTCTGGGACAGGAGAGAAGAGAGGGACTCTAGCTTTCTAGTTTTAAATTGGAAATTTGTTTTTCTTCACTGCCCCACCCCTTTAATCTTTTCATTGGACAGAGTGACTTTAATGAACTGGATCTTGAAACTTTGGCTCCTTATATTCCCATGGATGGAGAAGATTTCCAGCTGAGCCCTATCTGTCAAGAGGAGCGTCCTCTGTGTGAAAATGTCCAGCTTCCTCAGCACAGCTTAAGCAACATGAACAGTCTTTTCCAACCACTTTCTCCTTCTTCCCAAAGCGAGTTCCTCCTAGAGAAATATTGCCAGCCAGTATCTGACAAAAACATGCCAGCAGGCCAAGGGACTCTTCCACTGGCATACTTCAACCATGGAAGTCAATCATCCTCATTCTTGCTGCCCTACTATGCACAAGCCAACACTCCACTGTCTTCAATGGGTGGGAGACCAAATACACAGTGGCCACCTGACCCACCATTACAGTATGTGCCAACAAAATGGAGAGGAATCAGCAATAAGTCTTTAATAAGCTCTGCATCAGACCCTCCATCACTGCATTTGCCCAACATAAGCACAGATAAGAAAAGGTAATTCAACACAGAAAATTATTTTGAAAATAATAAACAAAAGCAGTTTAAAAATAACAGCTAGGTTTTTCATTTTCCACATGTGTGCATGCTTGTGGAGGCAAGTGGTTGAATCAAAAAGAAGAAATAGAAAACGCAATATGTGTGAACTTCAAAACAGGAACATCAGAGCAAAGCTTGTTATCAAATAAAAATAGAAAGTTGCCAGCAAAAGCATTTGTCAAAGGTGGGAGAAAGGTCATGGTTTTGTATGCCTATTTTTAAAGAAGTTATCAGAGCTACAAATAAAAAGATTATGTGCTAGGAGGTGAAAATGACTTCATGGCACATAATCATATCTCTTCATTTAAAAAAAATACATTTAAAAATGTTCACATACTGTGAGAGTATTTGCACAGAGTATGTGTAAAATGCTTTTTCTAATCACTGCAGCTAAGCAAGGATTCTGCTTCTTTCATTAGAGCCATCTCCAAAGTGTTTATCCACCCATCCACCTGAAGTCCTCTCTTGGCTTCAGAGGAGCTTAGCATACATTTCTATCTTCAAACCATCTGAAATGTTAAGTCCTTCCCCCCAGCATACCAAAATGTGGGGGAGGAGTACAAAAAAATGTATTTCATGTTCCCACCATCCCTTCTGTGGCTCCCAGGAACCTTACAGACTAAATACTGTTTAGGGAATCTGCTCCAGTTGCACCTGAGAAACTTAAGGGGCAAGAATTCCAAACCCACCTGTGTCTTGTCATCTTATGGAATGAGGCACTCAAGACACAAGGAAACTGAGTATCCTTGATAGTGATTAAGGAGTTGGAGAAGGACTGAGGAGACTTAGGTTATCAATAGTAGTGGGTTACTTTGGGCTAGTCACTTTTTCTTAGTTTAACCAGCCTCCACAATATTGTTGTAGAAAAAAAATGGAAAGAAATTTTATGTATGTTGCCTGGAGTTTCTGACCAAGAACAATATATAAATCTGACAAATAAAATTATAATTAAAATAATAAATGGTTGGTACAGCCAATAGGGAAGGGATCCATATGATTGGCTTTGTCCATGAGGGGGTGGTTTTCAAGCAATTCCCAGACCACCATTTATCTTTGCACAATTTATTAACTTTAGAGATAAACAAACTGCTAATGTTGACTTCAGGTATCAATGAGTGAATGTCTGTGGCGCAAGCTAGTGATTTGCCCACACCAGAGAGTAAACAGTACTTGGGCAATAGAAACTAACTGCAAAAACAATTGTTGAGCAATAGTTAAATAAAGTGCTATTCTCAATTTGCACAGCTCACTCTGTTCTTTCCATTTCAGCTTTCTGATAGGAGATTTTACAGAAATAATGTTTCAATTTTTATTAACATTGACACATCTTCTTAATGTTTAGTATTTATTAATGTTTATCATTGTACCAGTGATGTGTCTCATAGCTGTTCTCAACTACTAGCCACTTTTGTCTTAGTAAAAATATTCTGCAAGCTTCTGTTGCAACCATTGGTCTAGGAACAGATCTGAAAAAGGAAAGATTTCTGCACACCGACATGACACATTTCTCTGCATTAAAATAAAGCTTGTTTCAACTTAATAAAGAATAATGGTTTGTTTTGATAGATCACTGGAAAGTTTTGGACAGCGTGGCATAGATATAAATCCAGCCCGAATAGCTCTTGCCAACAGTCTGAAGTTGAAGCGGCAGTTAAATTATGAGGACCAAACATTTCAACATCTGAATGGGGTAAATTTATTATGACAGATCGCTATATTTTGCCTTTCATGGTTTTAAATAGAGGACTGTACAAGTTTCATTCTTTGAATAGCTTATGTCTTCATGTTTTGCGTTACCTACCATAGACACAAGATGACATATCTGGCCTTAATCCAACCCACTTAATGTTGAAAAGAATGAAAATTCTCAGAAGTGAAAACTGTGCATTGCTTTCAGAAAAGAAGTCACTCAGCACAAGTGTCCTTAATGGTAAGAATTTTCATAAATTGGTAATATAGCAATAGCACTTAGACTTATATATCGCCCCATAATACTTTACAGCACCCTCTGATCAGCATATTGCCCCCAACAATCTGGGTCCTCGTTTTACCGATCTCAGAAGGATGGAAGGCTGAGTCAACCTTGAACTGGTCAGGATCGAATTCCTGGCTATGGGCAGAGTTAGCCTGCAATACTGCATTCTAACCACTGTGCCACCAGGGTTTATATATGACCAAAAGGAAACACACATGGCGGGATAGGTCACTCTTCGGTGGCTGTGAGCAGAATATCAAAAAATATGCAAAAGAGCTATCTACATATCTTTGATATTTACCCAATTCTGTGCTACTTGTCTATGCTCTGCTTTATCATTTTTAAAAGTAAAAGTTCTGCTGCATAAGCGTAGTGGACGATCTTATCTAGTGTCATTTCACACAGTGGTCATTCAGATACTTCTGAGAACTCTACAGGCAGGTCAAATTACAATATCCGACAGTGGTTTCTGTAATTCAGAACCAATCAGCAGAACCAACCAGCCATCCAGGAGTCATCCAGCAAATCTAAATGGTATGAAATTCTGGATGGACAGGGGAAAAATATCTTTTTCACACAACTCATGTGTAAAATGTGATCACCATGAGATATGAGGTTGATTCATAATTTAAATGTCTTAAAAAGAAGCTTAGACAAATGCATAATGGCCACTAGCTATACATCAGCTATTTACCTCCTCTAGATCAGAAGAGACATTTCAGTCATAATAATAATAATAAATCCAAAGCCCTTACGTCCTACCTACTTTTCACTATCATATATTCAACTGTCAAAATACCTGTAGGTTTTTCAGCTATCTTTCAATGACTTTTGGCAAGAGTAAGAATATCTCTATATTATATATGAATGAAAACTGAGTGCATAAATTCATTTTTAATATCTAATCTATTCATGTTTATACATAGCTTCATCTTCCATTATTGCCTATTATATGTATGCACCAACTAGTTCTAACCTTGAAAAATCTTTGTAACTTAACATATGAACTGATGTTCACCATTAAATTGACTCTAGTGGCTGCCTAATTTCTTTCTGCATATGTTTGCAATCTGGAAAGTATCCATAGAAAATAATTCATCATTTCTGAAATTGCCTTAGAAAAACATGGTACTTTTATCTGCCACCACCACCATCACCATACACAAATACTTTTCCAGTCAAAATATCAATTTGGCTATGTGAAGCATTCTGTTTCCAATAGCATTTTTAAAGCCAGTTTTTAACTTTGTAATTATAGATAAGTTCCTTTGTAACCTACAAAGATGCCCAGGCCAGCCAGTGCATGTGATGCAGCAACAACAGCAGCAAGATCTACCACTGTCCTCTGGCAACTCTGCAAATAATCCCAAAGCTGTGTACTCTCTGCCTTTTTACAAAACCCCTTATCAGGACTTCAGTGTATCACAAGCTCATAGGATGTCAGGTAAGTGTCATGTCAAATTTAGAAAGGTTATATTCAATAATGAAAATTTTACTTTTAATAAAGATAAGAGTGTTTTAAATCAGCTCCTTTAGTAGGTGGGGTGGGCTCTTACTGTGAGATGTTGAAAGTGATCTAACCTCTAAAGCAGACATGTCAAATTGCCGGCCCGCAGGCTGGAAGCATCACACCGAAACTGCGCCCACCCCATTGCCGGCAATGGGGAAAGAGTCCTGTACATCACACAACGTCACTTGACATCGCGAGTTTGACATGCCTGCTTTAAAGTGAGGAGGTACTGTGATCAATCTGCTCAACAAATGAGTTGAAGTTTTTTCCATAAAGTCTCATATAAGTAAATCTCATTTGCTAAGGTCCTCATGGACCTGGTACTTTTTTTGGCAGAAATATGGAAGTGGTTTGCCATTACTACCTTCTGGAATATTTTTTTTCTTCCCACTTCCCATAAATTTTCTATTCTATTTATTGTATTATTATTTTTTATTTATATCCCGCCTTTATTATTTTTACAAATAACTCAAGGCGACAAACTCATCTAATCCTCCACCTTCCTCCTATTATTCCTCACAACAGTCTTGTGAGGTGAGTTGGGCTGAGAATGATTGGCCCAAGATCACTCAGCTGGTTCTCATGGCTAAGGTGAGACTTGAGCTCATAGTCCCTTGCTTTCTAGCCTGGTGGCCCAGTGGTTAGAATGCATTACTTCAGGCTAATTTTGCTGCCAGCAGTTCAGCAGTTCGATTCTCAACAACTCAAGGTTGACTCAGTCTTCCATCCTTCCGAGGTCGGTAAAATGAGGACCCAGATTGTTGGGGGCAATATGCTGACTCTGTAAACCCCTTAGAGAGGGCTGTAAAGCACTATGAAGTGGTAAATAAGTCTAAGTGCTAAGTGCTAACTACTAGACCAGGCTGTCTCTTTTAATTTTAATTAATCTCTCTTACTTAATAAACTGGCTATATGATGGTTGATATAAGGAAAGTCTATATGATGGTTGATATAAGCCAAAAGCAGCTTTGTTTTGTAAATAAACTGAGGTGCTAGAGAACTGGAGAAGAATAAATAAATCTTTAAGAAATTGGAAAAGGGGGATAATAATTGTTTTTTCAAAAGGCAGCTGGAGTTTTTTTTCCTTAAAGATGTTTCACTTCTCATCCAAGAAGCTTCTTCAGTTCTGACTGAATGGTGGGAATGGAAGGATTTATATTCCTTGCATAGAATAGAATAGAGCTGAAAGGGACCTTGGAGGTCTTCTAGTCCAGCCACCTGCTCAAGCATAGATAGTTTATATTCCTGAATACCCACCATTCAGTCAAATCCTTCCATTCCCAGCATTCAGCTGCCTTTTGAAAAAACAACTTTGGGGAAACATGACCTGGATGAATGAGAATCTCCATAGACAGTGAGCCTAATGTTAACTAGAGAAATATTAGAATAGGTAGTAAACCATTCACCTAACATTTGAGTCTAAAAGCAGTTTCCAGACCCTTAATAATTCTAACTTTTACAATAATTTTAACTTTGTGCCTCTGACTTCTTTGCTCATTTATTATGTCCTTTAATTCCTATTTAATTAGCTATAAGAATATCACTTCACCTTTGGAAGTGGAAATGTGTTTTTGTTTCTTGCTTGGGTTTTAATATTTTTTATAGTTTTTATAGCCTTTTTTTATATACTTCTATTGTACTAGTGTGACATTTTTTTAAGTTCAACACTGCTGCTAAGACTCTTTGGCGATGGAATATATTTTCTGTATTTTTTTATTTTTATTTTATTTTTTGCCCCTCAGGAGTTGCAAGTCGTCTGCTCGGGCCTTCTTTTGAACCTTATTTGTTGCCAGAATTGACCCGATATGACTGTGAGGTTAACGTCCCGGTGATGGGCAGTTCGACGCTTCTGCAGGGAGGTGACTTGCTTCAAGCTCTTGACCAAGCCACTTGAGCAAATCTGGGTGCCCCACCCCCACCCCCGGGGCTGATTCTGTTCCAAGCAGCTGCAGTTTTAAAATATATTTTTGCAAGTAGACAATTTCTAATACCAATTTACATTTTTACAAGATTTTACTTACTTGTTGAACTTGTCCACTTTACCAAATAGTGGCCTTTCTGAAAAGTTAACTCACTTTCTTATTTGCTTTAAAAGAAGTATGCATCTACTGTATTTTTTCCTTTTATTCCAATAAAGTGTTCCTTAGAAAATTTATATTATATTATTCCCCTTTGCTGTGTGTAATTTATATGTTCTGAAATTTCCTCAATATTCATGCTAATTAAAAAAGAAGGCTTTGTGTGTGCTATTGCCTGTATGTAATACTTTGGCTCAATTTATTGCAACTGTGTCATTTTTTTTGCCAAAGATTAAGTGAAATACTTTTTTCCCTGACGGTAGTCAACACTGCCTTATTCAAACAGAGGACCTATATGGCCATTCCCAAACTGTTTCTTAAATTTTCTAGTGTGCAAAAGAATGCATGCTTCAATCTTTTTACAAATCCAAAAAGAAGACGTAAATCTGTGTTAATTCTAAGAGTTAGCTGCTGTGTTGCCTAATTTCTGTGAAAATAACAAATTGTAGTCTAATTTAACGTTTGGGTCAGCGTCCTCATTTAAAACTGAATGTTCTGGTAATGCAAACAATGGTTTGCAATAGTATGCAAAGGCTATGCATATCAAGAACAGAAAATGAAGCAAATGTGAAAATGGATCGTTTTGTTCCTGCTTCCTCTGTAACACTGCAAATTATCTTAAAGTGCACTCACAGATCATGCAGCGTGGAGGATTGGCTTCAGAGCTTATCCTGACTTAGCTTTAAAGATGGATGCTTTTTCCTGTTGTGTATTGAAGAGCCAAAGCTATCTGGCCAATCCCTGCCATGGATTTAAATAATATGAAAGTGCCTTCCTCAGCTGATCTTAAGAGAACTCCTACAATTCAATGTTTTCCTAAGTTAAAATAGATGGGAAAGTTGATGACTTTTTAGGATTTAAGCATGTATTTTGGAAAAGAATCCAAAAGAATGGAACTATTGCATTCTATCTCATTTAGATCAGAATTACCGTAACTCTGCGGAATCTGTCTAATTAAGTCAAGAATTTAAAAGAGAATTGGGGATAGTCATAAAAAATACTGATCACCTATATTATTGAATATGTTTCAATTCCCTAATGTATTAACCCAACCACCATGCTGATTTGATACTTTTGTCTGGGTTAAATATTTATCATATACCGGAATATTGTACTATCTTTTAAGATAGAGGCAGAATTATGAATGCTTCTTTGGGATCCTTTTCTCCAGTTCCATCGTTTTGTTATGCCATGACAGGAATTGTCTAAAGATTATCATTAACACTGCTAACTGCCATTTAAATTGGATGTTGCTGTTTAGGCTTTTGTTTTTTTCCTCTCGGCTAACTAGCCACATCCTTCACACTACCAATTTGTATTGAGAAATAAATACATTTGCTTGCTTACTTACTATGCTATAGAAAGTGTTCTAGACTCTGGTGTAATTGAGATTTTTGTCACTTTTTTTAGTATACCTTAATGTTGATAGCATTTCCATGCAAATAATATTTTAGTAGGTTTTCAAAAGACCATTCTGAACTTTCAGAAACACTATAAGAAAACATGTTGGTGCTCAGGAATTTATTTAAATAGAAGGAGTCCATTTCATTCCATGTAGTCCTGTTTGCCTTTACTGGGTAAACAGGAACAGCTGTATATTCAATTCAGTAATAATATAAGCTCAAGGAACTTAGCTGATTTAAAAGTATTTATTAAAACCATAGAACAGATGTGTACAACCTGAGGCCCTAAGGTCTTATCTGGCCCCAAAAGCTTTGGACCCAACCCTTAGAGACCTCCAAAAGTTAATACCAAACTGCAATATTTAATAAGACAAAGTAAAGTTATTAAATGTGCAAGAGGAGATCAGTTGTGTTTATTATTTTAATTTGAATTCGGTTTAGATGTAAATGAAATGACATCATATTGGAGAGCTGCCGCCAACTTGCCCAAGGTTCAGTGTGATGCTTGGCACAGAAACAATTGCACACCTTTACCTTTGAATTTTAGAACAAGTTTTAGAAGGCCAAGGTAGAGTCAGAGAATCAGGAAATGTAGTAATGTTACCTGATGCTGAAGTCTCACCTGCTTAGATGATTATCTGGTGCAAATTAGCACCAATTGAAATTTTAAAAAAGAGAGACTTCTCTTAGAGCAGTGTTTCTCAACCTTGACAATTTTGAGGCATGTGGACTTCAACTCCCAGAATTCCACAGCCAGCATTGCTGGCTGTGGAATTCTGGGAGTTGAAGTCCACATGCCTCAAAATTGTCAAGGTTGAGAAACACTGTCTTAGAGTGAAACTGGTTTCATTGGAGAATGGCGTTATGGGGGAACACTCCAGAGCAAATTGTTGGAAAGGGTGAGGACTAAGGGGTACCTAGGGGAAAAATCAGAGGAAAAAAAACCCTGTTGTATAGGTGGAAGTGTACTTAGATGGCATTAATTTCCACTCTTAGAAATTAAAACAGTGTTACTATAATCCTCCTCATGTTCATTGCTCTCATACGGACAAGTGTGTTAGTGTTTAAGGCTCATTAAAGATAGTAGGGTCCAAGATGTAGCCAAGCTTTCCTCAAAGTCCTATTTATTATCTTGACTACCTTTTGAAGGGGGAAAGGAGAGTTTCAGGCCTATATTTATTTGTGGTTTACTGCTGAAGTGCCTTAAACCACTTAGTCCATAGTTGCTACAAATATGGCTCCCATTCTTCCATACATGAGAAATATAAAACTCTGCTAGAACTTTGCATGTTCTTCATTGAAGATATTAATGGAGTCCTTGTAAACCCAAGCAGTTGCCTGTCTGCCTTACATTGCAGTTTTGACAAAAATCAATGCTCCATCTAGCCAAAGCTAAGTTAATAGAAAAAGGGAAAACAGATTAAATGTAATGTAAATAGAGTTTGCTTGCATTTTTTGAAAAGAGTTCTTCAAACTAGGTAAACTCATGAAGGAAGTTGTTTGCAGAAAGATTTTAGAGTGAAAGTATTTAGGAATGAGGTCTGCTCAGGGATCTTTGTTTTTTTAAAAAAATGATTACAATTTTGTTTATTGATTCAACATTTCCATAATGGATGGAAAAAAGGCTCAGAAATGCTATAAATTTATCCTGGTTCTTTTTGCTCCATGGCATAATCTCTCTATGTTGAAATACTCATACTCAGGAGGTAATTCTGGTCCCCAAGTTAGGATTTTCATTATTTTTTAGCAGCTCACTAACTACATTGTACCAAGGGCAAGTGCTTATGAAAAAGAGAAAGATCTGGAACACGTCTTCCACTCAAGATGTTAGCCTTAACATTCTGCCACTTGATGATTAGCATCTTCAGGTGAGATTATATAAGGCAGAGGGAAAATTGGGGCCAGTCAAAGCAATCTTTACAGCAAAGGATAAAGAGGTATAGAACTCTCCCAATTCCAAAAATTGTCCAGACTGAGAATTTAATCGTCTTCAGAACTGATAACAGGAATATCCTCTGTCTCATCTAAAAGTAGCAACCTAAATTAGAAGTTATTAAGCAGACTGTCCAAAGACAAAATATGGCACATGCCCCTAAAAAAATGCATACTCTAGGTTCACATGAAGTACAAACCCAGCCATCAAATATAATTCTATACCTAAATGATAGGAAGCCCTGCTGAAAGAGAAAAGGCATAATTTTGGAAAGACATGTATAAATTTGCATTTCCAAGTATTTGCCTAAAAGCCATGCAAATTTCAGGAAGAATCTCTCAAAGGGTAGCCATCATAATATACCCTTTTCAGCTTGGTGCTTTCTGGTGTTGATTGCAATGTTAAAAATACAGAACCCACTGTACTTTATATCAGGAGGATATCATGTGGAGGAAGTCTGTGGTGATACTTTCACAACTAATTAAAATATGACATAATTTCAGATCTGCAGGAAGAGTGTTTTATCAGAATATTGTATTTAAAAATTAGGACTTATGAAGCATTAAAGCATTGTGTGTGTATGTATATGTATGTGTATGTGTGTGTGTATATATATATATATATATGCAATGGATTACAGCTTCAACTAAAATACATTTAGCGGCAAATTTGATTTGCTTGATGTGACTCTCATATATGAGTTTTGATTGGATCTGATTGTCAGTTATCATAATAAAGTTTTAATTTTAGAAGAAACACATTAAAAAATATCCATATTAAGCTGTTAATCTCAAATAGTTCACTTTAAATGATCCACTGATTTACAGTGACATCTCTGGAGCTAAAGTGGCTTGAAGCCTGTGGTTGCAGCAAAACAGATCTCTTTGTGATAATGAGCTGTGTGCCTGAATGGCACTCATATATTGCTATTTTATTTTTATTTGTAGTTTCAGCATTCAAGTGTTTACTCTAACCCTTTACTAAAAATACACTGAGGGAGAGGGAGACCATGCTTATAATATTAACCCTAACTATTGTCATAATTATTTCATGTTCTCTCTTTTGTTGAATTTCTTACTGATAATCTTGTAACTGTATGGCAACTTTTAACAATAAAGAAATGTATTTTGACACTGATACCTTATTAAAAATTACTGATCCTTCCATGTCTTGTGACTCTTGATTCTGGCAAAACAAACATCAGTGGAAAGTATCTTTGTGAAGTGCAAATATTTATTAAATTGTTTATAGGAATTAAGGTTTGCAATTATCTTTAAATGCATAGACAAAAAAATGCCATCTTGCTAGCTAATCAAAAAAGTATGCTCAGAGAACTTTAAAATAAATCTTGTTTCATGTCTTATTTGTTTATTCTATATAAAATTTATAAATTTTATGTTAGGATAGAATAGTGCTTTTTAAAGTGGCTTGAATTTTTCCATTAAACAACACCCATACAAACAACATATAACTGTTTACATTCCTTGATCTGCTCTTCCAAGTTA